GGGCTCCACCCAGTTCGAGCTTCCAGGCCACTTTGTTTACCTACTCAAGCCTCAGCAATGGCGGGTGCCCCTCTCCCAGCCTTGCTGCCGCCTTGCAGTTAGATCTCAGACTGCTGTACTAGCAATGAGGGAGGCTCCGTGGGCGTGGGACCCTCCGAGCCAGGCCCCGGATATAGTCTCCTGGTGTGCCGTTTGCTAAGACCCTTGGAAAAGCGCAGTATTAGGGAGGGAGTGACCTGATTTTCCGGGTGCTGTGTGTCACGGTTTCCCTTGGCTAGGAAAGGGAATTCCCTTACCCCTTGTGCTTCCTGAGTGAGGCTATGCCTTGCCCTGCTTCGGCTCTCGCTCGGTGGGCTGCACGCACTGTCCTGCACCCACTGTCCAACACACCCCAGTGAGATGAACCTGGTACCTCAGTTGGAAATACAGAAATCAGTCATCTTCTGCATCACTCACTCTGGGACCTGTAGCCTGGAGCTGTTCCTATTTGGCCATCTTGGAACCACCCAACCCACATTATTTATTAAAACATAAGACTTTTTAAAAGTATTTAAAGTGACCACCCATAAGCCTTCTTCTGATTTGTTATAAGAAATAATTTAAACTGAAATGGGCTATTCCTCTTTATACACACTACACTATTCTCATAAAAAATTAGATTTAGGACACTTCTGAGATCTTCTGTTAAAATGTAGATACTCGGAATGTGTGGGGAGGTCATACAAAAATATTACAAGCTCCAATACCTGCACTTGCAGACAACATATAAACAACTAGCATCTTCATTCATATATCTAATGAGTATTTACTGAGTAACTTCTAGCATACTAAGGACTGTTGCGAGGCCTTATAAAAACAAATTGAACAATATGGGCAGAATTCTTGTTTTTTTAAAATTTACATTCTAGTGAGAAGACAAACAAGCAATCAAGTCAATAAATAAGATGATTTAAGAAGACAGACTGTAAAATGAATCATTATTTAACATGCTACTAAGAAATGCATCCTGATTTCAGAGATGTTAAAATATAACTTATACATTGCTGATGGGAAAGTAAATGGTATAGTCACTCTTCAAAATAGTTTGGCAGTTTCTTACAAAAGAAAACCTGCATTACCATATGACCTTGAGGTTTTTATCCCAGAGAAATGAAAAATTACATTCACAGAAAATTCTACACAAAGAACATTCATAAAAGCTTTATTTTTAATAGCCAAAAACTAGAATCAGCACAGATGTCCTTCAACAAGTGAATAGTTAAATAAACTGTGATACAGCTGTACTATTGAATACAACTCAGCAATAGCAAGGAACAAACTACTGATACAGGCAACAACTTGAATGAATCTCCAGGGAATTATACTAAGTGAAAAAAGCAAATCCCAAAGGTTATATATTTAAAAGTATAATCCTATGTCTATAACATTTTTCAAATTAGAACTTTTTAAAAATGGAAGACAGATTAGTGGTTGCCAGGAGCTAGGAATGAGAGAGGGTAGGGAGGTGTAGAGGAGAGTGGTGCATATAGTTATAAAAGAACAACACAAGAGATCATTGTAGTGATGGAACTGTTCAGATAGGAACAGATAAACCTACAGATAGGAAAAAATTGTATAGAATTTACCCACATACACATACACACGCACATACAGATGAATATACAGTAAAACTGGGGAAATCCTAATAAAATATATGAATTGTATTAATGTCAGTGTCCTGGTTGTGATGTTATGCTATAGTTTTTCAAAATGTTACCATTGGGAGAAAGCGCAAATAGTCTAAGGGATCTTTGTACTGTTTCTTACAACTGCATGTGAATCTATAATTATTTCCATTTAATTTCCAGTTTAAAAAATGTATATCTCAGAATCTTTGAAATTTAGTAAGTACAATGAAGGAAACAAAGGGCAACATAAGAGATTGAGGGCAAGGGGGTTCCTTTAAGTAGGGTGGCAGGGAAGGGCTCCCAGATGTGCCACATGAGCTGGACCCTAAAGGATGAGAAAGATCCAGCCATGACGGCAGAGAGACCCCATGTATGTACAATGGCCTTAAGGTAAGAAAGGGCTTGAGTGCTACAAGAACGAAACAGGCTGGCAAAGATGGAGTTGCTAATCTTCAGCAACTTCAGGAAGAAAGAGGTCTAGGAAGTGGTCAGAACTGCAGAAAGAGCCAAACCTTGGTAAGGAGTTGGGCTTTTATGCTAACAGCAAAGAGAAGAAAGCCTTAGCAATCATTAGGCAAGAATAAGAACAACAGTAAGAGGAAGACCGGGCATCTGGGGAGACTGGAGGAAAGCAACAGTGGCAAGAGATTGCAAACACACCATTTTGCTTCGGACTAGCCTTGGCCAAATTAATGACATTGCTGCTGGTAAAAACACTAAACATTTCCAAGGGTCACAGTCAAACCATTAGCAACTGGAAAGGGATGACTGCAAAGTGGGGCTCCTTCACTGCCAGGACAGGCTCTAGAATTATGTGTGCTAAACTGTGAAAGCCTGTGTTTGTGTAAATTTTTTTGCTAAGAGAACCAAAACTTTCATCTGCGCATGTTCAATATCAAGTAGACAAAAGTACTTTAAATGCTCAGTTTTGTGCTTGAGGTCACAGTTCTGCATTATGATTTGAAATCTGAGGCTAGACATGGTGGTTCAGACCTGTAATTACAGCACTTTAGGGGGCTGAGGCAGGCGGATCACGTGAGGCCAGGAGTTCAAGACCAGCCTGACCAACATGATGAAAGCCTGTCTCTACTAAAAACACAAAAATTAGCCAGGCATGGTGGCATGCGCCTGTAATCTCAGCTACCCAGGAGGTTGAGGAAGGAGAATTGCTTGAACTTGGGAGGTGGAGGTTGCAGTGGGCTGAGATTGCACCACTGCACTCCAGCCTGTGTGACAGAGGGAGACTCTGTCTCAAAACAAACAAACAAAAAAAGATCTGAAATATGAGACATATTATGGAAGTAAACGTTTTAAAATCACAATTTTTCTTTTCAAATTACAATATTTTTTCAAAGCAATAAAAGTGTTAAACACCTCAATGACTAACTTAAAGAATGTCTGGGCCGGGCGCGGTGGCTCACGCCTGTAATCCCAGCACTTTGGGAGGCCGAGGCGGGCGGATCACGAGGTCAGGAGATCGAGACCATCCTGGCTAACACGGTGAAACCCTGTCTCTACTAAAAATGCAAAAAATTAGCCGGGCGAGGCGGCGGGCGCCTGTAGTCCCAGCTACTCGGGAGGCTGAGGCAGGAGAATGGCGTGAACCCGGGAGGCGGAGCTTGCAGTGAGCCGAGATCGCGCCATTGCACTCCAGCCTGGGCGACTAAGCGAGACTCTGTCTCAAAAAAAAAACAATAAATCAAAAAAATAAATAAATAAAAAGAATGTCTGATGAACTATTAACTAAAATTATATATTAAGATATAAAATTATAGATTATAAATTGCATAATTTAAATTATACAATTGAGGGTTCATGACATTTCCTTACAACCACTTTTAACTCCCTTAATTACTGTGTCCTTCTTGTTAACAGCACCTCTCACAAGTTACTGCAGCAAGGTACATTTTTCTATATTAAACTGTCAAAAAGGATAATCAATTCAGGTGAGATTCTGGCAAAATTGTTTCACTTATGCATTGCTATTACATTCTATAATATATTCATATTTGTTTTATATTAAATTAATATCATCAAATACTTATCAAGTAAAACTGATGCTCTAGACACTCCCCTGGGCTCCATCTGGTACCAGTACACTAGCAGAGAAGGCATCTAACTGTGAGGCATTAGAAGTATTAAAATAATTAATATGGGCCAAGCGTGGTGGCTCACGCCTGTAATCCCAGCACTTTGGGAGGCCAAGGCGGGTGGATCACAGGTCAGGAGATCGAGACCATCCTGACTAATACAGTGAAACCCCGTCTCTATTAAAAATACAAAAAATTAGCTGGGCATGGTGGCACATGCCTGTAGTCCCAGCTACTTGAGAGGCTGAGGCAGGAGAATCACGTGAACCCAGGAGGCAGAGGTTGCAGTGAGCCGAGATCACGCCACTGCACTCCAGCCTGGGCGACAGAGCAAGACTCCATCTAAAAATAAATAAATAAAAATAAAATAAAATAAAATAATTAATGTGGAATATTGATTATGACATAAAATACTGTAGGTCTGACACCATTTAAAGAGCTGGAAAACTGTGTTTACCCTTTGATTCGGTAATCTCACATTCAGGAGTGAGGGCAAATTTGAGACAAATAACAGAACAGATGATTTCATGATGTTGCTATTGTCACTGTCACCATCATCATTGTCATTTACTGATGCCTACTATGTATCAGGCATAATTTGGTGTTATTGGCTTTGAGATAGGATCTCACTGTGTCACCCAGACAGAGTGCCCTGGAGTGCAGTGGCAATCACTGCAGCCTTGAACTCCTGGGCTCAAACAATCCTCTCACTGCAGCCTACCAAGTAGCAGGGACTACAGGTCCATACCACCATGTTCAGCTAATTTTGCATTATTTGTAGAGATGAGGTCTTAGCATATTTCCTAAGCTGGTCTTGAACTTCTGGTCTCAAGCAATTCCCCTGCCTCAGCCTTCCAAAGTGTTGAGCTTGTAATAGTCTGCTAGTTATCTATAATATCTCAATATCCATCCTGAGCTTTTATGAAAGACGAAATTTGGGCTCTTCATTCATCTAGTCTGTATCTTTTCCATTTCTCAAGAACAGAAACACAAATTCTCACTAACATGTGAAACTCTGGTCCACCACAAACCTCCTTAGAACTTCCTGAGGTACAAGTATCGAAGTCTACCACATACACCTTTGATTGACTATTATTAAACTTCACTGGAATGGGGAGTGTGTGCATATGTCTTCTTAATGTCCTAAAACAAAATAGGTGGGAAATAATATAATTAAGTCTACAATTAAGGGACATTTACAGAAAAACAAAATAATATCCAAATCACAGAAGAAATAGATTACCTTCATTAGAAGAGAATTATTCCAAGATTTTACAAGTTCAGCAGCTCTTAAGTCTTGCCAACTTATAAAGTTGTGAAAATGATTTCCTGTTTTCCTAGAAAGAATAAAACAGTATTTTGAGACCCAGCATAAATCAGAGACTATGTTAAAGATGTACCATAAGAGAAAACAAAATTAGAGGCCATACTATAATTGCAAAGTATAATTTAGTTAGATGTGCCTTTCTGAATGATTTCTTCTGGATTTTATAAGTTGAATCAACACTGCACAACAATTATGTGACATATAGTATGAAATGTATATACTTCCAATACCAAAACTAACTAAGGAAAAGGCCTTTGAAGACCTGCTCTACACACTTTAAAGGCAGATTTTTTAAAAGCCAACACTATTCCCCTTTATTGCACTTATCCTGATACACATAATCCAATAAAAACCTCTGACCTGTGGAAGAGCTGAAATATTGCCTGAGCCTAGTTCTACACCAGTTAACTTTAGGATTGGCTTAGCCATTGGCAACCTAACAGGCTTACCAAAATCTCTCCAATAAATAGAAATTCAATAAACCTTGGGTCAATACTACAATAAAAGTACAGAGCTAAGAAATACAGAAGTTAAAAAAAAAAAAAAATCATTTTTCCTTTGAGGCTCCTGCAAATCAACCACTGGCATCTACCAATCAACATCCAAGTCAAGCTTGCTTTCTACCCCAACTCCAGGCCTCCTCCTGTGTGACTTGAACCATGTTCAATTACTAAGACTCGTTCTCTACTCTACTTAAGCATTCCACACCCAAGGTTATATCCTCACCTTTACATGTTCTACCACTGAAAGTCTAATGTTCCAATATTAGTCAGCACATAGGAATAAAAGTTTTCAGTTTTCTCAATCTTACTCCTTAAACACCTGGCCTTCCAACTCACTGCAACCTTTAATCCCTCAAACATTCCCTTTTCTTCCGACCAACCACTTCTAACTTTGGTTACTTTCCCAGATCCCATGGTCTATTACTTTAACAGCTTGCCATTGCACTCTCTAATACTTAACTTAAAAAAAAAAAATTGTGGGCCGGGCGCGGTGGCTCAAGCCTGTAATCCCAGCACTTTGGGAGGCCGAGACGGGCGGATCACGAGGTCAGGAGATCGAGACCGCCCTGGCCGACACGGTGAAACCCCGTCTCTACTAAAAAAAAATACAGAAAACTAGCCGGGCGAGGTGGCGGGCGCCTGTAGTCCCAGCTACTCGGGAGGCTGAGGCAGGAGAATGGCGTGAACCCGGGAGGCGGAGCTTGCAGTGAGCTGAGATCCGGCCACTACACTCCAGCCTGGGCGGCAGAGCGAGACTCCGTCTCAAAAAAAAAAAAAAAAAAAAAAAAATTGTGGCAAAATATACATAATATGAGATTTACCATTTTACCTTATTTTACATGTACAATTCAGCGGCAGTAAGTACATTCACAACATTGTGCAACCATCACCACTGTTTCTAAAACTCTCATCACCCCAAAGAGAAGCTCTGTAACAATTAGGAAATCATTCCCCATTCCTTCCTCACCCCATCCCTTATAGCCCCTATTCTATTTTCAGTCTCTCTACATTTGCCTATTCCAGGTAGATCATATATAAGTAGAATTATACAATATTTGTTCTTTTATATTTGGCTTACTTCACTTAGTATAATGTTTTCTAGATTGATCCATGTTGTAGCATGTATCAGAACTTTATTCCATTTTATGGCTGAACAATATTTCACTGTATTTATATACTACATATTGTTTATCACTTCATCTGTTGGTACACACGGGTTCTTTCTACCCTTTGGCTATTGTGATTACTGCTGCTTTAATACTGGTGTGAAGTATCTGTTTGAGTCTTTGTTTTCAATTTTTTTTAGGTATATACCCAGGCGTGGAACTGCTGGGTCATATAGTAATTCTATGTTTCTTTTTGAGGAACTGGCAAACTGTTTTCCACAGTCATTGCACAATTTTACATTTCTACCAACAATGTACGAGGGTTCCAATTTTTCCAAATCCTCACCAGCACTTATCTTTCTTTTTTAAAAATTATCACCATTCTAGTGGGTGTGAAGTGGTATCTCATTATGGTTTTAATTTGCAATTCCCTAATTACTAATGACATTGAGCATCTCTGTGTGTGCTTACTGACCATCTGTATATTACTGAAGTCCTCTGTCCATTTATTAACTGAATTGTTGTTTTCTTGTTGTTGAATTGTAGGAATTATTTACATATTCTAGATATTAATCCCTTAATAGGGATTAGGGATTAATATGTTACATGCTTGGAGGTTACAGTTTGCAAATATTTTCTCCCATTCCATGAGTTGTCTTTTCACTCTGTTGATAGGGTCCTGTTTTTTACCTTTATTAATGGAAATCGCAACATTTACCTAGATCATGAGCATGTTACTTCTCTTCCCTTTAGAAATCCAAATGGTCACCATTATCATGAGTACAAATCAGAGGAGTGATTTCCTATTGTTTTAGTCCTCCATCTTGGATGAAATTACAAACCAAACCTACCAAGATGCACATCTTCCATGTTACATGCTGCAGGTGGTTTTCTGAAGTCTAACTGCACATTAGATATCAATGACTAAAGTTTTTCAGACATATTTTTAAAATGCAAATTGCACATTATATCAAATTAATTTTAACGTAGCTTACTTATTATTTATAATTAAATTTAGGGTAATTTTTCTACTTTGGAGAGTTCCAATAGTTAAGAAAACTGAAAAATTAATCATCATAAACAGATGAAAAAATAAATGTCCTTTGATATATAAAGTCCAATTTATCTATTTTTTATTTCGTTAACTATGCTTTTGATGTCATTTAAGGAATCACTGCCAAATCCAAAGTCATGATGATGATTTTCTCCTGTTTTCTTCTAAGAGTTTTTAGTTTAGAGTTAAAGCTTTTACATTTAGGTCTTTGATGCATTTTGGGGTTCATTTTTGTAAATAGTATTAGGTAAGGGTCCAATTTAATTCTTTTGCATGTGAATGTTCAGTTTTCCCAGCACCATTTGTTGAAAAAACTATTCTTTTTCCACTGGCTGGTCTTAGCACCTTTGTCAAAGATCAGATTGTGTTTGATAAAGATAAAATCTATTGATATATAATTCTTCAGACCCATTCTACAATAACACATACTTATACACTTAAATCTGATGTTCAATCACTGATTTCAGCAAATATTTATAAGGCAATTTGTACCAGGAGTTGGGTACACAGCTATGAACAGACACACATAGCACTTTTGCTCTTATGACTGTATTTTCTAGCAGGGAATTTAAACAAATAATCAATTACTCAGTTGCTCACTTACAGCCAGAATACGCCCTATAAAGGATAAATAGAGGTGCCATGAGAGTATTCAACACATGGCCCCTGCGTGGTGGTCAGGGAAGGCTTGAGAAATGACAATGGATCTTAGCTCTGAAGGATGAGAAGGAATCAGAAGTATGAACATTCCCAACAAAATGTGCTATATCTTCAAAGGTCCTAGAGCAAGATGAAGCATGTCTTAGAGGAACTGAAAAGCTAGTGTGACTGAAGAACAATGAGGGGGAGAGAGAAAATCACAAGATGAAAGTGGCCTCATTAATTTATAACATGGAACAAGACAATCTAGAATACTGATTTTCAAGTAATAGCATATATTCTAATATTCACTCAGCATTGACTTGGGTTTATCTCTATCAACAATACAAGGAAAAATGAAGGAAAAGTGTAAATGGCAATACTGTAAATTAATTGTCTTAAACCCTTCTAACACTTTACACCATTCTGTGGCTCTTAATATATTTTATGTCATAAGTAGTTGGTATGACTCATTAATGTAAGTATCAAATACTACAATAAAAATCTATTTTGTGCAATGGGAATATAGAGTAATTTGTGTACCTACATAATGAGATTGTAAATTAGGGCTGGTATTCTTATTCATCTGTATATGCAGTGCAGCCCCCAGCACAGTGCATTACTCCTTGTGAGCCCTCAAACAGTTAAGAGTGAATCCCAGTTCCCGTGACTCACAGTTTGTGTTGCTAATTGGCACACACCCTGATCTGAAGTTAGCTGGCAGAAATCTCCCTCAAGAGACACAGTGACTAAAGAAACAAAACAGCTCGCGATTTTTTTTTTTAGAACAAAAGGAATTTAAAAGAACCAAAATGGAAGTGATATCAGTTAGAGTTATTTTAGAAAGCAGGCTAAACACACCACTTTTTGAATATATTGGAAAAAAAAGCTTAACCTGAAGAACACGAAGAAAGTTCAAAGACTGAAAAAAGTTAATAAGTTTCCTGGTCCCTAAAGGGAGGATGGGGGAGAGACAAGGAGAAAAACAGAAACAAAGTTCAAAGTTTTAGACCTCCTGACAGCAACTGTGAGGAAAATAATGTTTCTACGGCCATGAGGACAGAAATGCACCATAGATGCAGGAGGAAAAAAACAACAAGCTGGGAGGAGGAGCTGCTGGCCAGGATTGGAATGAACAATAGGTTTTTCCACAGGGTCTAGTCTGTCTCCCCTTTTCTCTCACAAATGAACAAGAAGTGCTTCTGGTTGGCGCTGCGTTGTGCCCATCTGTGTTGTGTCCCCGCTGTTTGCTAGGGCTCTTGTGGAATCTGTCAGCATCATACACCACATTGGCTCCCTGGGGCCCAATGAGCAGAATAGGCTCCATTATTTTAATGCAAAAGAAGCACAAAGCCTTTCAGTTTTTTTTCAAAAAATATCCACTATTGCAGTTTCCACAAGCAAAGAATGTTATCAAAACTCATGAAAGAATACAAACATTTCAAAAAAGAAAAAAGGACAGCCAAGATAAAAAAAACTCACAGTGAATTGTTTTAGGAAGAAGACGTATCCTTCTACAACAACAACACCACCAGTAAGGAAAGTGAACTGTCTTGAAATCTAACTCTTCTATTCCTTCTAATGGTGATGTATAGTCCTAGCATCAGACAAAAACTTTGCTTCCTAATATTCTGACCTTCCTGTCATGAGTGATATGGTAGCCAGGTCCTGATGAAAGCAATCACTGGGGCCAATGGCCAAGTGAATGTGACACATCCAATCAGTTCTTTCCCTAAGAACACTCCTCCCTCCACTTTCATCCATCCACTTCCCAGATTAGCGTCAGTCCTGCTTTGCTGGCTTTTTCTTCCCTGACTCACTTTAAATTTAGTGGGGGGAACCCACAGTCCAAATCCTTAGCTTGCTTTTCTTTTCTTCACATAATCTCTACCAGAGAACACATTATTTTTTGAGACTTCATCTACACCAATGGTTCCAAACTGGGGGTGTCCCCAGGGGACATTTAGCAATGTTTTGAGACATTTGTGGTTGGTACAAATGGTGGTGAGGTGGGCTGGGGTGCTACTGACATCTAGTGGGTAGAGGCCAGGGATGCTGCTAAACATCTGCAACACCACAGGACAGTCCCTACCACAGTGAATTGTTTAGCTCAAAATGTCAACAGTGTCACTAAGATTAGATACCTTATGTGTACAGGTAAGTTTAATTCATTCATCCCTTCATCTGACAATACACTACTATTTAAGATTTATTTAAGATTTGCCATAACCAAGGACAGTGCCGGGGGGTGGAGTAGGCACAGAAGAACTGTAGATGTAGGCATCAATCTGAGATGCATCATGCCGTGAAAAAAAAAGTACTGGGCCGAGCATGGTGGGTCACACCTGTAATCCCAGCGCTTTGGGACACCAAGGCAGGCAGATCACTTGAGGCTCAGAGTTCAAGAGCAGCCTAGGCAACATGGTGAGACTCCATCTCTATAAAAATTTTAAAAATTAGCCAGCCATAGTGTGGTACACACCTATAGTCCTAGCTACTTGGGAGGCTGATGTGGGAGGATCCCTTGAGCCCAGGAGTTCGAGGCTGCAGTGAGCTATGATCATGTCACTGCACTCCAGCCTGGGTAGCAAAGTGAAGACCTCGTCCCCCAAAAATGAAAATAAAAAGAAACTATCTGATGGAGATGTGCTATGCCTCAGTCCAAATTAAACCAATGTTCTAGTCACCTCTGCGATATCTCCACATTTACATGTCCAAAACCAAACATTTTATCATTTCTCCTTCTATCTACTCTACTACCCAACCCATTCCTCCTTATATTCTCTATGATTTCTATCAAACAGCCCAAACATCAAGGCCAGCAGTATTGGTAAATTCAAATTTCTTCTTCTTGCCTAATACTGAATTAGAAGCCAAGTCCTTGTGAATTCACCCTGATTATATTTTTCAGATTCATCTTTTCTCCCTCTGCTCACTTTTCTTTCCCACTGCCCAAACTCAAGATGTCCTTTGGAGCCTAATGCTTTAACAAAGACACATTTTACAGTGGTGTGTGTGGGTACGTGGTGGGGGTATTTAGGAGGAGGGAATGTGGGTGTGTGTTTAAACCAAGAAACAGAGAAATACATGCTAGCTGGGGGAGGTAGCTGAGGTGGGAGAATTGCTTGATCCCAGGAATTGGAGACCAGCTTGGCAATATGGTGAAACTCCGTCTCTACAAAAAAACAAAAAAAATTAGCCAGGCATAGTGAAGTGCACTTGTAGTCCCAGCTACTCGGGAGGCTAAGGCAAGAGGATCACCTGAGCCTGGGAAGTTGAGGCTGTAGTGAGCTGTAATCATGCCACTACACTCCAGCCTGGGGGACAGAATAAGACCCTGTCTTAGGAAAAAATAAAAAGAAAGAAACATGTTGAAGGCAATGTGGGGATAGTGTAAAGAACACATGCTTCTGAGTCAAAAAGACAATTTAGAATCTTGGCTCTATTTGCTCACTGAGCAACGTTGAACAACTTATTTCTCTGTAAAAACAGGTATGATGCCTAAACTGTAAGTTTGTTGTAAGGATAATGGAACTTGGGATTGTCACAGATGTTTACTATACAGTAGCTATTATGATATTATAACAGTGTTTAGTGTATATATGCCTCATATGCTATAGACAAATATTAAATTTAGAGTAGACCGAAAATATAAACCATAAGCACAGTATTGTGTTTCTGAAATTTGTGAGCTTCCTCTGACTCTTTAGGTATAAGTTAATGTTTTAGATCTCGATCTAGGCTTGTTTGAAAGCTAACTTACCCAAAAGAAAGAAATGGATAATTTTAATGACAGTAAATCTTTCTGTGGTTATTTTTTTATGTAAGTCAAGCTCAAATGACATGCAGCAAGCATATAAGCCAGAAAGCAGGCCCATTTCATCCCTCTTAACCAAACAAAACTATTTCTCAATTCACAAAGTTAAAACTCCCCAGAGATTTCATAACAGTGTACTCACTGTGGCATGAACCCAGCAGTAGGGTGCTTATCACAAAATGTACTTACTTGTTCCACGTAATAAAAGTTCCTCTCTGTGTTGAAATGCCAAGACCAACAATTTGATTCATCTGTATTCCTGCAGCTAAAAGTAAAGATGGATAAAACACATGTTTTAAAGCCAGTGATATTTTTCTTTACAATATTACCATATGGAAAAAAAAAATCCAATGTAATCTTTAAGAAAAATACCTGGGTTTAGCATTCTAACAAAACAACTGGAATTAATAAATAAAGAATTACTAAGATGATTCTGCAGAATTTTTTTTTTACTTGAAGAAAACAAAGGTTGTTTCTTGTTTTACTGTTTTTTGTTTTGAGACAAAGTGTCACTCTGTTGCCCAGGCTGGAGTGCAGTGGCGCAATCTTGGCTCACTGCAACCTCTGCCTCCTGGGTTCAAGCAATTCTCATGCCTCAGCCTCCCAAGTAGCTGGGATTACAGGCGTGCACCACCACGCCTGGCTAATTTTTTGTATTTTTAGTAGAGATGGGGTTTCACCATGTTGGCCGGCCTGGTCTCAAACTCCTGACCCTGGGTGATCCACCTACCTTGGCCTCTCAAAGTGCTGGGATTACAGGTGTGAGCCACTGTGCCTGGCCTTAAAGGTTGTTTCTTAATTACAAAGTAGCTTTTTTTGTTTTACGTGTCGGGGAAAAAAACAAATACTATGCAAAGTATGTCAGATTTATTTTTTCTTGGTAATAATAAGATTGGCTCTTAATGTAAGCAATGGTCAATCACAATAGAAGCTGGTTAATGACAATAAAGGAAAACTCTCAAGGAAAGTAGTATAATTATTGAAGCTGAGACCTTATTTTCAACACAAACTGATGCCAGGATGCAAATAAAAATATTGACTTTTTGGTCCAAATTTCTTAAAATATAGCAACTCGAGTATTTGTTGTGATATTCTTTAAAAATCTATTTATACCACTGGGAAAATCTGGGACAACTTCAAGTTGAGCACTGAGGAAAACACATCAACCCTCATATAGTATTCTAAAGTTATTCAACCTGAATCTAACTGGGAGGAAGCAATCAGACAACCTCAAAATGAGGGACACTCTACTCAACTGGCTTGTACTTTTGAAAACTCATAAGAATGTGCTCTAGATGAAAGGAGCCTAAGCCGACTGACAGCTAAATGCAGTGCCTCCTCTTTGGCTGGGTTCTAGATTGAAAAATAAGTTTTTTCGTTTTTTGTATTCACTAAGGCAAGAGAGAATATTGAAGACAGAGGATTAGAAAACAGTACTGTGTTAATGTTATACTTCCTGAGTGTGGTAATTGCGTTGTGGTTATAGGAGAAAATACTCCTTTCCTATGGTTCAGAAAGAAAAAAGTTTGCAGAAAATGGTAAACATTACAAAATATGTTTGAATCTACAAGAAAGATATACAAGAGTTTACTGTACTATTCTTGCAACTTTTGTATAGACTTTGAAATATTTCAAACCAAAAAGATGAGAAGAAGCAATTCAGCCAGAAAAATGAAGTAAAAGTTCTTTTAGAATTTACATTTGCAAGTAATCTTTGCCATGTTCTCAAGCAAGGTTGCCATTTCAATGTTTTGAGATGTTTTCAATGTCTAAGAATGTTTCTAACATTCTTAAAGAACTAAGACTTAGACGATAGCTTTGGCCAGGAGAGCACTTTATGTCAAGTGACCAGAAAAAAACAAAAACTTATTTTACAATAAAAATAACTCAGTTGTAAACTCATGAGAGTAGAAACTATACACTGTAACTTTTGTTTATAATCCTCTGGTATTTTGTGCCTAACAGGAAATCAAAACAGCACTAGCTATAACCTGGAATGAGGAAATGGTGAGCATTTACATTACAGCTGAAAAGAGACAAACCAGAGGACACAGCAGATGTTACCTTTCCCTGACAAAGGAGTTCACTGTGAATTACAAATTTCCCTTGAAAAATACTGGGAAATTGTAATCCGCATAAAATACTACATATATATATATATACACACACACACACACACACACACACACATAAAAATTAGGAACACCACAACTACAGAAGCCTGAGGAAAACTCTTATTACAAAAAAAAAAAAAATAAAGATTATTGTTATTTTTATAAATCCAATTAATTACCTTTGACTGCTTCTTTTATTACGGCAACAAATTGAATCCAAAGAACATCAGGATCAATTTCTACCCAGCCAATTTGAGGATAAAGATTTTCTACCTATGGAGGAAAAGAAGATTTAGTAAAAACAGCATTAGATCAAGTCAGTAGTATGGGTATTTGGGTCTCAAAACTACTGGTTAAAATAATTAATATGATTTTATTATCTAATTAATTTGTATTAAAATTGAAAAAACACATATATAAAATAACAAAGGACTACATGCCAACATCAAAATAGCAGTAACCCATGAGTTCACAGAAGATTTTAGCTTTGTTTATCTCTGCTTTTATTTTCTAAGTTTTCTACAAGGTATGTTTTTAAAATAAGAAAAAAGGCTTTTAAAAATTAAAAATAAATTTTAAAAAAAGTGAATTCCAGTTCAGACCATGATAGAGTAAGCACACTCCACCCTGTCTCTTCCACTAAATACAAATGTAACACCTGGACAGAATCCATGGAGCAGCTATTGTGGACTCTTAAAAAGTATATTGCAGCAGGTGGACTGCAGGAAGTAGATAAGAATTCAGGTACCATGGAACTGGTGGTGAGTTTCCCATTTTTCTTCTGAAATCCCCTGGCTTAGACTCAAGACATCCTGAAAACCAGAACTGGGAACTAGGGCACAGAGGAAGTGCCAGAAGCATCTCTACTGTTTTGGCTCAAAGAATGAGAACGCGAACTCCTAACACTCAGAGGAAATGGAAGAGATCTCCCATTTTTCTCTTTTCCCTTGTCTCCATACTTTTGTACCCACACAATCCTGCAGCAGTGGCAGCAGCAGTTAATAGTGGTTATCAGTGCATCTCAACAGGTACCTAAAATCCTGAGGAAGGTGAAACTTTCTCTCCAATCAGATGAGCGGTGATCCAAGAGGGTGTGGTCAACCCTATGGCTTTTTTCTCTGTGTGTTTCCACAGCCTAACCCCAGACGTACCCAGCCGAATGGGGTAAGAAAAGCCCCAGCTTTTTGGCCAGGAACCATAAGGGGAGGTTCAGAGAATCAAAAAGTACCAGGGCCGTCTCAGAGACGGAGGAGCTTGGAAAAGATACCACAGAAAGTTGTGTATGAACTCTTAGGCTCACCCCAAAGCTGCACTCGTATGGATGTAATCCTAAACATTATACTAAAGATATTAAGAACAGAACTAAAGGACAGACCACTGCCCAGGTCCCAGACTAACTACTAGGTTGCACACACACAGGGCAGATCCAAATAGTACTGCCAAGATTTTGAAAACAAATCTGACATTGAAACTGCAGTCCACAGAAGACTTAATTTGTAGCCTGAACCCAACTGCAATAAATACCTGCCAGAAGAAAAACAACAAAATTCCTCATAGGATTTATAAAACCCCCAGGGTCTTTTAACATAATATTCAAAATTTCTAGGATACAATCCAAAACTACAAGGTATATGAAGAACCTGAAAAATCTAACTCACATTGGAAAAGATAATCAAGAAATGCCAATGCCAAGATGACACAGATATCTGATAAACAGTCTAAAGCAGCTATTAGGAAAATACTCCAAGAGGAGTGAGTACACTTGCAACAAATGGGAAGACAGAAAGTCTCAGCAGAGGTACCTGCAGTAATCATTTAACTACATATGTGCATATCAAGGTCAGTATATCAAGACATCATGAAGAATGCCTTAAATATATCCCATTTTAAAAAGAAAGAAAAAAGGCCGGGCACGGTGGCTCAAGCCTGTAATCCCAGCACTTTGGGAGGCCGAGACGGGCGGATCACGAGGTCAGGAGATCGAGACCATCCTGGCTAACACGGTGAAACCCCGTCTCTACTAAAAAATACAAAAAACTAGCCGGGCGAGGTGGCGGGCGCCTGTAGTCCCAGCTACTCGGGAGGCTGAGGCAGGAGAATGGCGTAAACCCGGGAGGCGGTGCTTGCTGTGAGCTGAGATCCAGCCACTGCACTCCAGCCTGGGCGAAAGAGCGAGACTCCGTCTCAAAAAAAAAAAAAAAGAAAGAAAGAAAAAAGAAATTCATGAAAGACGTAAAAAAGGAAATTTTAGAATTGAAAAATGTACTGATCAAAATTTAAAACTTACTGGATGGGCTCAATAGCAGAAGGGAGATAGAAGAAAATGAATAAACTTGAAGACAGATCAATAGAAATTATCTGCACAACAGAAAGAAAAAAGACTGGAGGAAAAAAAAAGAACAAAGCCCCAGGGACATACCAAAGGTCTAATATTTGTTTAATCAGGGGTCTCCAAAGATGAAAAGAAAGAGTTCAGAGCAGAAAAAAAAAATTACTTGAGGGAAGTAACAATGCTAAAAGCTGCCCAAGTTCAGTGAAATCTATATATTCAAGAGGCTCAGAAAACCTTTACTAAATGAACCCAAAGCATTACACACCCAGATATCATAATCAAAATGCGGAAAACTAAAAGCAAAGAAAAAAGTTTGAAACCAGAAACTTCACATATACAGAACAAAAATTTAAATGACTGTGGATTTCTCATCAGTACCATGAAAGCCAGAAATAAGTGGCTTAACATTTACAGTATGCTAAAAGAACCGCCATCCCATATTTCTATAACAAAATCCCAACAGGATTTTTTGTAGATTCTAAAATTTATATTAGGCAAAAACACTAAAATGGCCAAAACAATGTTGAAAAAGAATAAAGTCAGAGAGGAAAAAAAAGAATAAAGTTAGAAGCACACTACCCAATTTCAAGACTGACTATAAAGCTACAGTAATCAAAATAGTATGCTATTGGCATAAAAACTGACACACAGATCAATGGAACAGAATAGAGAGTCCAGAAATAGACTCACAAATATGACTAGTTGATTTTCAACAAAAGTACAGAGGCAATTCCGTGGAGAAAAGATAGTTTTTTCAACAAATGGTGTTGTAACAAGTGGACATCCATATGCAAAAAAAAAAATCAGGCTAGGCATGGTGGCTCACGCCTGTAATCCCAGCACTTTGAGAGGCCAAGGCGGGCAGACTGCCTAAGCTCAGGAGTTCGCAACCAGCTTGGGCAACACAGTGAAACCCCATCTCTACTAAAAAAAAAAAAAAAAAAAAAAAAAAAAGCCGGCGTGGCAACAGCACCTGTAGTCCCAGCTACTCGTGAGGCTGAGGCAGGAGAACTGCTTGACCCCGGGAGGCGCAGGTTGCAATGAGCCAAGATCCAACAACTGCACTCCAGCCTGGGCGACAGAGCAAGGCTCCATCTCAAGAAAAAAAAAAAAAAATTCAACCTCAACCCAAACTTTACAACTTACAAAAATTAACTCAAAAGGGATCAAGATCTAAATGTAAAATGTAAAACTACAAAATGTTTAGAAGAAAACGCAAGAGAAAATCCTTGTGACTTGGTGTTAGGCAAAGAGTTCTTAGAACACCAAAAGTATAATTCATACAACAAAAAATTGATAAATTGGACCTCATCAAAGTTAAAAACACTTGTTCTGCAAAAGATACTGTTAAGAAAATAAAAAGACAAAAGCACAGACTGGTAGAAAATATGTGCAAATCACATATCCAACACAGGACTAATATCCAGAATATATAAAAAAAAATTTCAAAATTCAACAGTAAGAAAACAAAGAACTCAATTTAAAAATGGGCACAAGACTTCAAGCACTCCATCAAAGAAAACATATGGATTACAAATATGTACATGAAGACAGATATTCAGCATCATTAGCCATTAGAGAAATGCAAGTCAAATCAAATAACTAAGTTTTAAAAACTAATGATACCAAGTATTGATGAGGATGTGGAACAACTGGAACTCTGATACATTGTTGGTGAGAATGCAAAATGGTATGGTCACTCTGAACACTCTGAATTTCTTGTTAAGTTAAACTTTCACTTACCATATAACCTACGTATTTACCCTAGAGAAATTTACCCTGTAAGGTTGTACATAGGACTGGTTCAAAGTTTTTTAATGTTCCCTTTAAAATCTGTACACTAATGTTTATAGCAGCTCTATTCATCATCACCAGAAACCAGAAACCACCTAAATGTACTTCAACAGGTGAATGAATGTAGTATATCCATATAATAGACACTACTCAGAAATAAAAAAGAATAAACAAGTGAGATACATAACAACATGGACAAGTCTCAAAGGCATTATGCTGAAAAAAATCCAGTCTCAAAAGGCTACTTACTGTATGATTCCATTTATATGACATTCTTAAAAAGACAAGACTGTGTGGAAAACAGATCAGTGGTTACCAGAGGTTAGGTGGGTGGGGAGATGTGACTAAAATAAGGTAACACAAGGGAGCTTGGGGATTACTTCTACACATGTGCTAAAGTTCACATAAGTATACACCAAAAGTCTATTTTACTTTAATGTAAAAAATAAAATAAATTTTGTAGGCTGGATGCAGTGGCCTGTAATCCAGTACTTTGGGAGGCTGAGGCAGGAAAATCGCTTGAGCCCAGGAATTCAAGATCAGCCTGAGCAACGTGCCAAAACCCCATCTCTACAAAAATACAAAACGAGTGCCACTGCCCACACCTGTAGTTCCAGCTACTCAGGAGTCTGAAGTGGGAGGATCACTTGAGCCCAGGAGGTAGAGGATACAGTGAACTGTGGCCACACCACTGCACTCTAGCCTGGGAGACAGAGGGAGACTCTCAATAAATAAATAAACAAACAAACAAATTTCATAAAAATCTATGGCTTCAAGTTAAAATGATGGCTTAAACATATGCATGCATCTCCAATTCCTCCCAGTCTATTAAAAGGAAAACATCAACAAGGTTCAAATGCATGAGGACAAAGAGAAGAGCAAATAGGATTAGACTAGATTTTAACAATTTTTTTTTTTTTTTTTTTTTTTTTTTTTTGAGACAGAGTCTCGCTCTGTCGCCCAGGCTGAAGTGCAGTGGCACGATCTCAGCTCATTGCAAGCTCCGCCTCCCAGGTTCACACCATTCTCCTGCCTCAGCCTCCCGAGTAGCTGGGACTACAGGGGCCTGCCACCACGCCCGGCTAATTTTTTTATATTTTTTAGTAGAGACGGGGTTTCACCATGTTAGCCAGGATGGTCTCAATCTCCTGACCTCGTGATCCGCCCGCCTCAGCCTCCTAAAGTGCTGGGATTACAGGCATGAGCCACCGCACCTGGCAACAAATGTTTTTAATATGAACAGTGAGTGGGCGGGTGGTACATGGCTTAGGACAGAGGAGAAAATGCCAATACATCACTGCCTGCTCAGATTACACTGCATCTCTACTCACCCTGGCTCCCATTTCACTCAGAGTAAAACCATTATTCATTATAATGGCCTATAAGACCCGAGTCGGGTCACCTCTACCCTTTTCCTGAGAATGTGAGCTCCTAGAGGGCAGGGAATGTATCTCCTTAGTTCATTTTATCCCCAGCATCTACAAGTGCCTAGGGTTTCTTAGATATTCCATAAAGTGAATGTATGAATGAACATATGAGTGAACTATGAGAGTGATGCCCGTAAGCAGAGAGCAGAGATTCTAGGGTGGAACTCTGGAAATTAGAGGTTCCTCTGAAAGCTGGGATGCCAGATGGGGTTGTACATAGGACTGGTTCAAAGTCTTTATAAGGAGCCCCAATTCCTTTCCTCCAGCAAGATCACTGCCCCTCCCTAATCTGGCAGAAAGTAAGAGATTTACTTCTGGAGGGGTTGAACTAGAGTTCTGTACTTGCAAATGACAGATATACCTAAGTGCTAGGGCAAGGCATGGTACCAAAAAAAATGCAGATAACCAATCAAGATCACTAGTTAAGGAAAATTTCTAACATGTAGTATGAAAAGTCCAAAATAAAGAAAAAAGGAACTCTGAGGAAACAGTGACAATATGGGGAGTGTAAAGTGTTACACAAGGTGATGTAGAAAAAGAATCTCTTATTCCCCAGTGAGCTCATCAAGAACAGATTTAACACAATCTATTCTCCTGTCAACTCATACTTCTGCCCTTTCTATGTAACGCTTTTATGACTATAGACTGTAACAGTTTAACTACAAGAAACACTTTCTTACCCCAGAAAACTCAATGTGGATATCATTGCTTCAAGGCTATAAACCTTCAGATTTGACCCAGGGTCACTTCCCCCAACTTTACCAATCAGGATGTCACATACCATCCCCAAACAAGTTGCAGTAGTGAAATCTATTATTTTACAGGAGAGCCAAACCAAAATTAGATCAAGAATATAATAAAAGTTAAAAAGAAAATTTTTTTGAGTAAAAACAAAAGACGACAACCACTTAGTCCATTTTTCAAGCATGTACAGAGAGTACACAGTATTACTGTTTGGAGTGACCTTTCTGTCCTGTTCTTCCAACCGAGACATTATCATTTTTTTATAGTTTCTCATAATGGCATGATGTTCCACTGGGGAACATGATAAATATTCTCCATTTTTAAAACCAAAATATCAAATATTCATATGTAGAGTTTCCAACACAAAATATTATTCTAGCAGTTATATATTTAAGAGTCCCTAAGAAAGATTTTTTAAAAATACAAATTACAGAAAAAAGCTAAAAATGTACCTCTACTGTTAAACATTTAAAAAATAAAGGCCATAAGAAATAAGACTGATGTCTTCTCACAGCCTATTTTGTTCTTATCTACAAAGGGGAATCTCTTTTTTTTTCTTTTTTAAAAATTTCTTTCCCAGTATCAATCAAATCATATACTAAGAGGTTTTAGGTTTCTATTATACATTCTTTCCATTGGAATATTACAAGAGGTGTAATTTCTACTTGACAGAATAAACACAATCAAGTTCTGTGTCTAAGTCATAGAGTCCCATGAATTCCTAACATTTTAACTGCAATTCAATTATTCTGTAACGATGAGGTAATACACCAGGTACTAAGCAGCAATGTAGACCAACAAGATCCTTGTTCCTAAAAATCTAAAATTATCTGCAGTAAAGGACCAGTTGCTGCTTGTTTTTTTAAAAAAATTTCTATTCATTGGCTGGGCACAGTGGCTCACGCCTGTAATCCCAGCACTTTGGGAGGCCGAGAAAGGTGGATCACGAGGTCAGGAGATCGAGACCATCCTGGCTAACACAGTGAAACCCCGTCTCTACTAAAAATACAAAAAAATTAGCCAGGCGTGGTTGTGGGCACCTGTAGTCCCAGCTACTCGGGCGGCTGAGGCAGGAGAATAGCGTGAACCTGGAGGGTGGAGCTTGCAGTGAACCAAGATCGTGTCACTGTACTCCAGCCTGGGCAACACAGTGAGACTCCGTCTCAAACAAACAACAAAAAAAAATTGTATTCATTGTGGACCAACAATTTTTAAGATACAATTAAGTTTCCAGTCCAGGTGCAGTAACTCGTGCCTTGTAATCCCAGCACTTTAGGAGGCTGAGGTAGGAGGATTGCTTGAGCCCAGGAGTTCAAGGTTGCAGTGAACTATGATCAGGCCACCTGGGGGACAGAGTTAGAATCTGTCTCTAAAAATAACAATAATTTTTATAAAGTTTCCAGAAAAAAAAAAAGGCACACAAAATACAATCCCAAATCTTTCATTACTGGAATCAACAGACATAAAATTACTCTGCTAAGTTGCTACACAAGTTCCTAAATATTCAGTTTTCTTTTATTATCTCAATCCCAGCAGCCCTGTAACTACACTTTGAGCAGTACTGCTGTAAACTCCTACCACACAGAGAGGCATTGCTGCACATTTCTTAATCTACGACTGTGCTTTACCCGGGAAAAGCGGGCTTTTTTTTTTTTTTTTTTTTTTTTTTTTTATTTACTCGTATCTTTCTTTTATCCAGACACATTTTCCACAGTTTAGAGTCTGTGCAAACCATCCTGGCCTCCTGCCACTCACAGCAATCTTGATCCATCTTTGGGATTCTTCATTCCTAAAAAAACTAATGATCTGCCCCAAATTATATATCAACTGTGAAACTTTGCATTTTCTAGTAATTTATTTCTCCCTTCGGTTCCAAAAATTTCAATTCCTTAAAAGAAAAATAAAACAAACAAACAAAACAACCAGTGCTTAAAAGTACTTTGTGTCTAGACTTATAAGGGAGACTTTAAAAAGTATCATTGTGTTTGTGATAAATACTCTTAGAAAGATAAGGAGTACCCAGTCACTGAACGGTGGTATCTGCCTTTCATTTGTCCTTTCAGGCTGGGATAGGGATAGTGTGTGGGTGGGTGGGCAGCGTTCCCACACAGCTAGCCAGAGAAGGGACCAGGGAGCTGCTACAGTCCCAGTTCCACTGTCTTGGTCCTGAAACCTAAATGGAGGCCGGGCGTGGTGGCTCATGCCTGTAATCCCAGCGCTTTGGGAGGCCAAGTCGGGTGGATCACCTGAGGTCAAGAGTTCAAGGCCAGCCTGGCCAACATAGCAAAACCCTGTCTCTACGAAAATACAAAAATTAGCAAGGCATGATGGCAGGTGCCTGTAATCCCAGCTACTCAGGAGGCTGAGGCAAGAGAATTGCTTGAACCCAGGAGGTGGAGGTTGCAGTGAGCCGAGATCATACCGCTGCACTCTAGCCTGGGTGACAGAGCAAGACTCCATCTCAAAAAAAAAAAAAAACCTGAATGGAAGGAAGTCTGATGTTTCCTCAAAACAAATGCTCAAAGCAGTCACTACTCACTGGCATTCTAGCTGGACCCACTCCTGGGCAAGTGCTACAAAGAAAAACACCTCTAGGGTGGTCGGAAGAAGAATGGGACACTGAGAAAAAAGGGGAATACAGTGCTGCTGGGAATGGTTAGGTAACTGATGGCTCCTGCCCTCCCTCAAATTCCTAACATAAAAAGATGTTGGTACTGGGAAGAGAAAATAAGAACACCATAACAGGCTGGCCACAGTGGCTCATGCCTGTAATCTTGGCACTTTGGGAGGCCAAGGCGGGTGAATTACTTGAGCCCAGGAATTCCAGACCAGCCTGGACAAAATGGCAAAATCCCATCACTATAAAAAATATAAACAAATTTAGCCAGGCATGGTGGCCCCTTGCCTGTAGTCACAGCTACTTGGGGGGCTGAGGTGGAAGGATCACTTGAGCCCAGGAGATTGAAGCTGCAGTGAGCCGAGATCACACCACTGCACTCCAGCCTGGGTGACAAAGTGAGACCCTGTCTCAAAAAAAAAAAAGGAACAACAATAAGAACACCATAACAAATAAACATTATTTTTGGTGCATTGACAATTGTGTAGAAATCAACACTTCATTAATATGAGAACAGAAGGATATCAATGTGTTGGTTGCTGAACAGTTAGTTCAAGGGTCTACTAACATCCAACCAACGACTTGGCAGGTCTCTCAAACGAGGGGAAATAAAGAATTTTATGAATTCTCAAAGATCGAAAATAGAAAAGTGATGACCACACTGCCTTCAAAACTTGCCCAATACCTCTAATATCCATGGCAATCAGTTGCTCACGTAAGGAACCAGCATTTTGTGGAGTAGTAGTTAATAATGATGACAAGTGAAGAATAGAGAATAAACTTAAATTCTATAAAGATATGAAAAGTTATTGAGGCACAAGTCCAAAGGCTATAATAAATAAAAAAGGGAAAAAAAGTTGTCAAAAATTAAAATGTAAATAAAGATGTGATGGGAGATCTATCAGGGAAGTGCAGGAAGAACCGAGCAATTCACAAACCACCCTCTGGCTGGACGCGCACAGCCTGCCCAGTCCCGTTCGGCAAGTCACCTCAGTCCCATCCAGGTAAGGCTGGACAGGTGGTTCTCCAGGTGGCAGGAGGCGAGCGAGCGGCCCAGGTCATACACCGGGCCCCTGGTGCCCTCAGTCTGGACAGGAAGGGCGCGCGGGGTTCAGCCTAGCCCAGGGAGGGAACGAGAAGACTCAGCCGGTCTGGGCGCGCCTCTGGCCCCAGGGTGCTGCAGGTGGCCGCGTCCAGGGCGGTAGGTGGGCCCCGCCCGCTCGCCTCCCGAGGCCGGACCCCTGGACTCAGCAAAACCCAGTCAGACCCGCGCCCCACGGCCGCCTCCAAGTCACCTTCTGCGCGCTGGAGCCGCAGACACGCGCCGCCCGGTCATAGACGTGGCAGCGGATCACAGAACTGCCCACGTCCAGCCCCAGCACGAAGCCAGCGTGCCGCGGCTCCTGCGCTCTCTGCTCCGGGTCCGTCGGCAGCCCAGACATCCCGATCCCACACGCCTCTCTGCTACAGACGCCACCCCAGAGGGCGCGCTATAAATCCCGATGCCCCAGAATCCCAGGGCGCAGCGCCGGGCCGCCGCCCCCAACCCAGCCCCCAACCCAGCTCCGCGGGAGTTTAGAGAGGCCCGGCCCCTGGCGCGGGCTCCACCCCGGCGCCGTGACGTCACGGGCGCGCGCCGGCGGCCTCGAGGGAGGGGTGGAGGTGAGCTGGTTTGTGTCGTGCTCTGGAGCCCGAGATCGCCAGCCATGCTCATCCTCCAGTTGCCGGCCGCTGTTGGATTGACTTGGCCCTTAACTCTTTTATTATTTTTTTTTGAGACGGAGTCTCACTTTGTCGCCCCGGCTGGAGTGCAGTGGCGCGATCTCGGCTCACTGCAACCTCCGCCTCCCGGGTTCAAGCGATTCTCTTGCCTTAGCCTCCCAAGTAAATGGGATAACAGGCGCGCTCCTCCACGCCCGGCTAATTTTTGTATTTTTAGTAGAGAAGGGGTTTCACCATGTTGATCAGGCTGGTCTCGATCTCCGGATCTCGTGATCCGCTCGCCTCAGCTTCCCAAATTGCTGCGATTGCAGGCGTGAGCCACCGAACCCGGCGGCCCTTAACTCTTATTTTTTCTCTTGCGTCTCCAGCTTCCTGAGAGGCAGCGCCTGCGTTTCTCTTAACCCTAGCTACATTTGAGGAATCTCTATTAAAGAAAAATAGCTACCCCATATGCTAATCGTGAGGAGGAAATTATAGGCTAGTTTATATAAAAATCTCAGAAAGTTTCGAGGTGCCATAAGGCACATTTATTCATTTCTCACCCATGATTATGACTAGAGTGTTGGAGAAATTTTTATCTCTGAGTAACTTTGGCAGACTAACCTGGGTCTCTGCATTCGTGCAGAATTTTTCAAGCTTAAAACATTTGTAGAGGTCACTACCATATATGGTTTCCATTTTTTTGCTAACATTTTGGGTACGACTTTATTTCAATATTATTAAATGCACAGCCATTGACTATGCTAGAGTTGAATAAAGTGCTGTTTTTCAAAAATGAAATAAAACAAGTGCCATAAAAAATTCAAAATTTGGCCAAAAGTATTAATGTTTATTAACAGAGAGTTGCCCACGACTTCTCTTCCCAGAAAACGTGGTAAAGTTTGCACACAATGCAAAGTGGTAAATATTTGCTAAATGAAATGCGACGCAAGGAAGAAGACTTTTCCCAGCCCTCTAGTGGGAAAGAAAGGAGAAAGCTTAATTAAGGTGGCTGCTTTGACTATCACGCTCCACTACGGCGGTTGCTTTTTGGAATCTGAAAACCTCACAGAGGCCCTTTACCTTTTGTTGCTGCCCTAGGGGATGGGCTCATCCAGACACTTGACCAAAAGGAACAAGGCGTCCTGTGGAAATTGCGAGATTCTCGCGGCTCAGGTTCCTGGGCCTGGAGCTTTCCTGGGGAAGGTCCTGATCTGCAGGGAGTGGGGAGGTGGTTCCGCCTGCGCCACCCACCTCCCACTGCCACCAGCAATCTGTGAAGTCAGGGCCTGAAAATATTCCTTATCTTTTTGTAAAATTAGCAAAATATGAATATATGTTTTGTGTGAAAACGTTTAACAGTGCCAACTGGTATATCAATTAAAAAGTAAAAGATAATCATTTTGGCTGGGCGCCGGGGCTCACGACTGTAATCCCAGCACTTTGGGAGGCCAAGGCAGGCGGATAACTTGAGGTCAGGAGTTTGAGAGCAACCTGGGCAACATGGTGAAACCCCATCTCTACAAAAATACAAAAATTAGCTGGGCGTGGTAGCCGGCTCCTGTAATCCCAGCTACTGGGGAGGCTGAGGCAGGAGAATCACTTGAACCCGAGAGGCGGAGGTTGCAGTGAGCCAAGATCATGCCACTGCACTCCAGCCTGGGCGACACAGCAAGACTCTGCCTCGAAATAAATAAATACCTACATGCATGCATACATACATACTCATTTTGAATCAAAACTTTTTTTAGACAGGGTCTTGCACTGTCACCCAGGCTAGAGTGCTGTGGCGCCACCTCAGCTCACTGCAGCCTCGACCTCCCGGGCTCAGGTGATCCAACTACCTCAGCCTCCCAAGTAGCTGGGACTACAACCACCACATCCGCCTAATTTTTGCATTTTTTGTAGAGACTCTGTTTCACCATGTTGGCCAGGCTGGTCTCGAACTCCTGGCCTCAAGTGATCCTCCCACCTTGGTCTCCCAAAGTGCTGGGATTAGGGGTGTGAGCCATTGTGCCCAACCAAATCATTCTTTTTTTTTTCTTTTTTTTTTTTTTTCTGAGATGGAGTCTTGCCCTTGTTTGCCCAGGCTGGAGTGCAGTGCTGCGATCTGGGCTCACTGCAACCTCCGCCTCCCGGGTTCGAGTGATTCTCTTGCCTCAGCCTCCCAAGTAGCTGGGACTACAGGCACTGGCCACCATGCCCAGCTAATTTTTGTGTTTTTATAGAGTTGGGGTTTCACCATGTTGGCCAGGATGGTCTGGATCTCTTGACCTTGTGATCTGCCCGCCACAGCCTCCCAAAGTGCTGGGATTACAGGCGTGAGCCACTGTGCAGGGCCAAGTCATTCTTTTGGCCAAATTGTCCTGTTTATCAACTTACTTTCAGGCAATTTGACAAAACTGGCTCTTTGACTATACAACGTTAAGCTTGGAACATACACCTGGACGAGTATGTTTTTTTTGTTTGTACCCTGTTCAACAGTACTGATTTGTTCCAAGTGGCCTCAGGACTGCCTTCACCAGTCCTGACCATTTTGGTCGTGTGTGTGTGTGAATTATTGTAATTTGAAATAAATGACTAATGGGTCCAGTACTCGTCAGGGTTCTCCAGAGAAATAGAACCAATAGGATAGAGAGAAAGAGAAAGAGAGGTTTATTATTTTAAGGAGTTTCTTCATATGATTATCCAGGGCTGGCAAGTCCTGGATATTTCCGGGGCAGGCTAGCAGGCTGGAAACTCAAGAAGAGTTTCCATGTTGCAGTTTTGAGGAGACTTCCTTCTTTGGGAAACCTGTCTTTGTTCTTAAAGCTTAAAACCAACCTTGTGTGAGACTCACTCAGGTTTTGGAGGGTGATCTGCTTTACTCAAAGTGTACTAATTTAAATGTTAATTACTTCTAAGAAATACCTTCACAACAACACCTAGACTGGTGTTTGACCGAACAGCTGGGCATACAGTGTGTCTAACTAGCCTAGCCAAGTTCACACATAATAGTATCCATATCAGTTCCCCATTCACAACAGAGAAAACGGCTTTGTATTACCTGATGTTAATATTTAGTATATTTCTCAAAGTGATATTTCTTGGCTTCTTGAAACCTGACACTTCCTTAATGATCCTTTTTATAAATTCAAATAAATTATATTGAGTATTATCAAAATCATAGAATTTGAAAACAGGGGCCTTAGAAACCACTTAATCTAGTGTTTCTCAAATTGTTTTCAGATCTTGAACAACTTTGAGGCCCTAATGAACACTGTCTTCCCAAGAAGATGCTTATACACACAAAATTTTGCACATAACTTCAGGTGCTGGGTGTTGGGTAAAGCAAACATAAAGATCTCAGATAAAAATCAAGATCTTATTTCACAGTTGAGTAGGAGAGGCCTGGGGGAACAAAGAGATACCTGTTTCTCCCACTTTCTTTGTTCTCTGTCAGCACCTCCTACCCTGTTCTTCCCTAAGGGAAAGGAGTATATGGGCAACAGGGCACAGGGCTCAGAGGCTTCTAAGGCCCTTTGATAACTGGTCATTCTCTTTTTTTTTTTTAATTTTTAAAAAGTTTTATGGGTACATAGTAGGTGTATATATTTTTGGGTTACGTGAGATATTTGGATACAGGTATGATAATCACATCGGGGTAAATAGGGTATCCTTTATGTCAAGCATTTATCCTTTGTGTTGCAAACAATCCAATTATACTCTTTTATTTTTAAATGTACAACTAAATTGACTGTCAAAAAATACTCGATGTTGGTGTGAATGTGGTGAAAGGGGAACACTTAGACTGCTGTTGAGAATGTAAATTAGTACAGCCTCTATGAAAAACAGTGTGGATATTCCTTAAAAGAACTAAAAGTAGATCTACCATTTGATCCAGCAATCCCACTACTGGGTACCTACCCAAAAGAAAATAAGTCATTATATGAAAAATACGCCTACACAAATATATTTATTGCAGCACAATTCACAATTGCAAAGATATGGAATCAACCTAAGCGCCCATCAACTAATGGGTGAATAAAGAAAATGTGGTATGTGTGTATATATATATATATATATATACACTATGGAATACTACTCAGCCATAAAAAGGAATGAAATAATGTCTTACAGCAACTTGGATGGAGCTGGAGGCCATTATTCTGAGTGAATTAACCCAGGAATGGAAAACGAAAGAAGTAGGAGCTAAGTACACAAAGGTACACAAAGTCATATAACAGACTTTGGAGACCCAGAAAGAGGAGGGTGGGACGGGGGTGTGTGATAAGAAGCTACCTATTGGGTACAATGTACACTACTCAGGTGACTGGTGCACTAAAATGTCAGAATTCAGCACTATATAATTCATCCGTGTAACCCAAAACCACTTGTACCCCAAAAGCTACTGAAATAAAAAAAATTAATGTGATTTTTAACTATAGACACCCTGTCGTGCTATCAAATACTAGATCTTATTATTCTATTTTTTTTTTGTACCTATTAGCTATCCCCACTTCCCCTGGCCCTACTCCTCACCCCTGTCCACTACCCTTACCGGCCCCTGGTAACCATCCTTCTACTCTCTATCTCCATGAGTTCAATTATATTAATTTGTAGCTCCCACAAATAACTGAGAACATGAGAAATTTGTCTTTCTGTGCCTGGCTTATTTCACCTAACATAATGACCTCCATTTCCATCCATGTTGTAAATGACAGTGTCAGGCCTCTGAGCCCAAGCCAAGCCA